GACCAACAGTTGGTGTAATGGCTATGTCGCTGGACTCCCATGTAGCCAACCACAGTTCGAGTCCCGGACCCAGTGGCTTAAACTCACACTGAGCGCTTGTGCATGTGTGTCCAAGATCCCGAAAGGAGAATGGAAGAGAAGGGATTGCCCTGTGTCCATCCCCCCCTTGGGGGTGATTTCTCACTTTCTGTCTCTCTGTTTCTCTCGGTCTTTCTGGTGAGTGCATGCAGCCTATAGCAAAAACCTCTAAAAAAAAAAAAAATCACCAAGGAATGGCCTTCATATGACCAAGTCCAAAGTTCAGCTCTCAGGCCTCATCTTACTTGGCTTATTAACATTATTTGTCACATTAGGTCACTTCCTCTCTAAACACTTTCTTTGCTTAGTTTTCAGGGCACCACACTCTGGTCCCCTGCTTTCCTGGCTACTCCTTTTCACTCTTATCTAGACCTCCTAAACTTGAAGAGGCCTAGAGGTCAATCATCACATTTCTATCAACTCAAAACTTAGATGATCTCACACAGTCTCGCTGTAAAATACCATCTGTAAATACCACAGTAAGGCTTTCCAATTTTGTATCTCCAGTCATAACTTTTCCCTTATCTACAGGTTCCTGGTATCCAACTACCTACTCAACAGTTTCATCTGTCTTTTTTTTTTTTCAATGTATTTATTTAACTTATTTTTATTAATTTTTAATTTGATCAGAAGGGGACAGAGAGAAAGAATGAGAAAGCAAGCCACCAGGTTCAGGACTCTAACTGTGGTCTGTCATGTGGGAATCCAGCACCCTTCACCACGCCACCTGCTGGCCCTGACTGTCTCAATAGACATTTCAAGTACATGTCTCAAGTCAAATACTGATTCCATGGCTCCCACTCCTCATTCCTGCCCCAAATTCTCTTTCCAGATCCTTACTCATTTTAACAAGTGGAATCTCCATTCTTCTAACTGGTTAGGCCAAAATGCCTTTTGATTTTTTGGAGCTGACCTGAATACAATCCATCAAATTCTGTTATCTCAACCTTGGAAATATATCCAGGGGCTAGCAGGTGGTGTGGTGGTTAAGGTGCTGGACTCCCACAAATTATCCTTTTTAAAATATATACATCCAGAATCCAACCGCTTCTCAATACATCTATTGCTATCACCCTGGTCCAAAGCATTTGTTGCTTGGATTATTGCAACAGCATCCTAGCAAGTCTCTCTGCTCCCATCTTTGCCCCTTTATACTTGATATTTCACATACCAACGAAAATTACTTTTTTTTTTTTTTTTGCTAGATGGTGTGTGTACTTGCCAGGAAGAGACCATATGAGAAGTGATCACACTGTAATCCTTTCTCTTTTTCAGGATTTTGGACACACACACACATACATGTCCCAGCATGTTTTTTTTCCCCCTCAAGCCACTGGGCCCAGGACTCAAACCGTGCAGTCGACTATGTGAGATCCAGTTGCCTTAACTACCATGCCACTGGCTGTCCTCAGAATTTCTTTTTTTTAAGAGAGATCTTTTGCTTTTGGGTGTGTGCATTCACTAGAAAGACAGAGAGACAGAAATTAAGAAATCACCCCCCGGGACCAGCAGTTAGTGTAATGGCTATGTCGCTGGACTCCCACGTAGTCTACCACATTTCGTGTCCTGGACCCGGTGGCTTAAAACTCACGCCAGGCGCGTGTGCGTGCATACCCAAGATTCCAAGAGGAAAACGGAGGAGAAGGGATTGCAGCATGGCCATCCCCCCTGGGGGGTGATTTCTCACTTTCTGGCTGTCTCTCTCTTGTCTGTCTGGCGAGCACACACGCCCTATAGTGAAAACCTCTCCAGAAAAAAAAAAAAAAAAGATAATGATTAAGAAATCACCCCCCAAGGGGAATGGCCATGCTGCAATCCATTCTCTTCTCGGGATTTTGGACATACATGCATATGCACACGGTGTGGGTTTGAAGCCACCGGGTCCAGGACTCGAACCTCGATGGATTATGTGGGAGTCCATCCACATAATCATTACACCGTCTGCTAATCCCCCTCAGACTTTTAACCCCAAATCAGATCTGTTACACCTCTGCTTAAATCTGCCTGAGACATCCTTACATTCTTCCCAGGCTTGTGTCTCTTAAGACCCAACGTGCACTGATCCCAGCTTTTGTGTGAGCTGTCACTGCCCTTTTCTGTGTTAGTCTGGCTGACTTCCTCTCCGCTCCTCAGACAGCAAGCTTCTGCCCCTGAATTTGCCTTGACATTCCTCCTGTCTGGAGTGCTGCTTTCCCTTTGGATCTCTCCAGTTCCACTTCTCATCCTCAGCTTATCAGGTCTTTGCTCAGGGGAAGCCTGCAGAAAAGATCTTTCTTGATCCTCTTCCTGTTTCATCTCTAACCCTGCCTTTCTTCCTAGCATTTAGCACCACCTGACATGTGTTCATTTGACTGCTGTTCACGAGAATGTGAAGTCCATGAGGGAAGGGAATTTTTTCTTCACTGCTGTGTCCTCAGTGCCTAGAAAGTGCCTGGCCCTTTCATTGGGAAAATCTGAATAATATCTCCTCCCAGGCATTTGTTTATAGCATTTTCTGTTTTCTTGATTTCTACACCACTGTCTTTCCTGGCTCTATCTCTTTTATTATTATTATTACTCCTCCCATGAGAGACAGACAGACAGACAAGTACCCTTAATAAGGTCTTCACACAATGATCCACCCCCAGTCTCGGCCCACTCTTCATGCTCAGGGAAGTTCAGGGACTCAAACACAGGACCTTCTTTTCCATGTAGGTCCAGTTTGTTATCTGCACCATCACCTCACCCTGGCTCTCTTTTAAATCCCCTGAGAGGGCCTGAATATGTTGTCCCATAACCATTCAGTAAGAAGCAGCCCTGTCGAGCTGTCCAACCATGTCACCTTATGGGCTCTGGTGTGTTGTTGAATCTTCTGACCTCATCTACCTTCACCTGAATTCTATCATAAGCTTCACTGATAGCAGTAAGTATGGGTCAATTTTACAGAAGTAAGTTTTATTGGAGCCAGCAGGTGGTGTGGTGGTTAAGGCACTGGATCCCACATGACCAATTGTGCCATTTGAGTCTAAGACCCAGAGGGTTGGAAATCATGCTGAGCATGCCCCCTGAGAGGAGAATAGGGGAAAGGGGATTGCAGCATGACCATCCACCCATGAGTGGTGCTTTCTCACTGTCTCTCTCTAGTGAGCATACATGCCCTTTAGCAAATTAAAAAAATAAAAAATTTTAAAAAACAGAGCTGGCAAGTGCTTAAGGGCACTAGTTCGAGTCCCAGACCTGGCAGCTTGCTTTCTCACTCTCTCTCTCTGCCCACTGGTCAAATTTAAATAACGTTATAAAATTCTCTTAAAAAAAAAGAAAAAGAAAGAAATTTATACAAAATCACAGTGAAATTGAAGGCAGTGGAAAACATTTTCAAATGGAAACACCCAGCTATCTACTATTGTGAATGTTGTCGAGGGAAGAATATCCGTGTTGGTCTCTGGTAAAGGAAGCTCTCCAGACCAGCCCCACCCATCATGTCTGGCAGGTGAAGAGGCCGGTTCCCTTTTCAGGCAACCTTGCTTTGCGTTCTTTCTTTCTTTCAATTTACCACAAGAGGGCAGTCTTTTATCATAGTCGTCTTGAATAATACAAACAGTGGGCAAAGATGCATTTCAAGAATTTAAATAGAAATTAGAATATTATGCCAATTGTTTACCAAAGTTAAAGCTCTGGGCTTACAAGTTTTCTCCCAAAAGTCATGGGATCAAACCACTAAAAGGGTTTGATCCTCTAAAAGGGAAATGAGCAGTTTAACAATGATACAGAAAATAACCTTCCAGAGTCTGAATAGCTCAGAAATCTACAGGGCTGTTTTTTTAGGACTAAAGATGCTGTTCCTTCCTTGAATTCACTCAGTATTGCAGATGGAGGGTGTGGATGTGTCTGTCAGTTTATTTCTACAAACATGACATAGAAGGAAAGAAAAACTTTTTATTAGCTATTTATTTCAAGGTATCTGTGTACTATATACAAACAAGAAAAGCTGAAGAAGTTTAATACTCATGTTAGACGTATTAGCCACCGTGTAGTAATTGAAAGCAAAAGGTATATCATAAACAAGCATTAGATTACTAACTATGGAAAAAGTGAAGTCCCTTGGGCCAGAGTCAGTCAGCTCTTTCTCTAAGCAATTCCCTTCTGTCATACACTACAGAGAGGTAATTAAAAGAAATAGATCATTGGAGAGTTTAATGCTGTCTAGTCAGATTACTCCTTAAAAACTAGCTAGCCCTAAACTAGGAGTTAAATTGTGCAAATGACCTTAAAGAATATATTCTAACCTCCTTCTACACCTTTTGTTTTGTTTTTGTTTTTTGCCATTGCACATGTGTGCTCACCTAAAAAAGAGACAGAGAGAGGGAAAGGGAGAAATCATCCCCTGGGGGAGCGGAGAAGACCACACTGCAATCCCTTCTCCATTCTCTCTGGATTTGGGGCATGCATGCACACACACATGGGTGTGCTTTTTAAGCTGCCAAGTCCAAGACTCGAATCTCAAACCACAGTCTGCCATGTGGGAATCCAGCACCTTAACTACCATGCCACCTGCTGACTCCCCCTGCACCTTTTAGTAAGTAGCTTTTTCTAAAAGAATTATTTAATTTTATTTATTCATCCATTTATTTTCATCTGACCAGAGAGAGAGAGGGAAAGTGAGAAAGTAAGCCACTAGGTCTGGGACTCGAACCATGATCAGCCATGTGAGAGTGTCCAGCACCTTTACCACCATGCCACCTGCTAGTCCCAGTAAATAGCCTTTTGAGTCTAATCAGATTTGGGCTTTGTGCCTTGATAGAAACTTACAAGTCAATTATATCTGATAACAAAACTATCCCAAAAAATGTAGGAATACAGTCTGTACACTCTTTTCATTACTTGTGGAAAAAGCAAAACCCATATCATAAAAAGTCAGGAAAGCCTGAAAAAAGATACCTCAGTTGACTTTTTGTCAGAAGGAAATCACATGTTAAAATTTTATTTTCTAGCTTTGGTCTGGTTGTCAGTTGGGATGGGTTTGCCCAAATGATGGCCCACAGAAAGGCCACATTTCTTGTTTTTCTGCTCCTCCTGTACCTCTTTTTTCAGTAAGAACCCTGCCTGGAAGTTTAGGTCAAAGAAACTGCTTGGGGGAAAATACAGTGGTGTCTCATCCCAAATATTCTCCAGGCGTTTCTTCCATTCTTCCAAGATCTGAATCCGGGCATCCTCAGGAGTGTGCCCAATGCTGTATGTCAGTTGAGGTTCTAAGACTTGGAAGCCACAGAAATGCAGAATGCCACTCTGGGGATACACAAGCACACAGGTAAGTCACACAATCACTTCTCAGCAGTTTGTACTATAAACAGCACAAGTTGGTCTGGGCTTCCCAATAAGACACTCCAGTAAAGAGACCTGGGTACCCTGGAGGATCAGCTCACCCTATTCTCTCACCTTCTCTCTATCTAGCTGTTACCTATTTTAGCCCAGTCAGCTGTGCTCTTCTTTAAATGAATAAACTTGGAACTGTGCCAACCTGGATCCTCTGCCAAAATGGCTAGGCATTCTATTATGTGAGGAAGAGTTTCAGCTTCTTGGTTACTCACTCTTATCAAAGCATATGGATAGCATTTCTCTGCCTCTCCATATAAAAGATCCTGATAGAGGGGCTGCCTTACTTCTGCTTCTCTCCAACTCCATCCCTTAGGTGACCTTGAAAGCCCAGTGACCATCAGAAAACCTACCTCAGGCTTCAGTTTTACTCATCTCTAGAACTGAGTAGACTAAAAAATTAAACTTTCTTGGGCTCTCCTAGTCTCAGAGACTGTAGCAGAGCTTGGAAAAGGGCAGGAAGGTTGCAGAGAGATGCCAGTCATCTGAGAGAACGAGGGCCTATGGCTACAGAAGTCAAGGGTCATCTGTACTAGCCTGGGGGCTAGGAGAGAATGGTGTTTGAACAGGTGCACACACAGGGGTGGATATTCCATAAAGACAGGCCTGGGAAGACAGGCAAGTTAGATAGGAAATTCCCTGCCGTTCTGAATAATTACTCTGCTTTCGTTTTCACACTTCAGATCCATTTTCAGGTTCTATCTTGAGGTTTTGGAGCCCACAGAAAGCTCAATTATTGAAAAGCCCTGTAGGTTCATTGAAGATGAGGTACCTGAATTGGCCAGAGAAGGACATTCATGTCCCCGTGGACACCCAGCAGAGAATACATGGATTTGCTTCCCCCAGTAGTGATGGAAAGCAAGGTCTTCTTATTCTGTATGAGGAGAGAGGGTGGGGAAACAAACCTTCATTACCTTTCTTTTTTTGCTATAGGGCGCATGTACTCGCCAGAAAGACAGAGACAGACAGACAGAAAGTGAGAAATCACCCCCCAGGGGTATGGCCACGCCACAATCCCTTCTCCTCCATTCTCCTCTCAGGATCTTGGGCACACACTCACACATGCCTGGCGTGAGTTTTAAGCCACCAGGTCCGGGACACGAACCGCAGTCGACTACATGGGAGTCCAGCAACACTACCTCAGGCTTCAGTTTTACTCATCTCTAGAACTGAGTAGACTAAAAAATTAAACTTTCTTGGGCTCTCCTAGTCTCAGAGACTGTAGCAGAGCTTGGAAAAGGGCAGGAAGGTTGCAGAGAGATGCCAGTCATCTGAGAGAACGAGGGCCTATGGCTACAGAAGTCAAGGGTCATCTGTACTAGCCTGGGGGCTAGGAGAGAATGGTGTTTGAACAGGTGCACACACAGGGGTGGATATTCCATAAAGACAGGCCTGGGAAGACAGGCAAGTTAGATAGGAAATTCCCTGCCGTTCTGAATAATTACTCTGCTTTCGTTTTCACACTTCAGATCCATTTTCAGGTTCTATCTTGAGGTTTTGGAGCCCACAGAAAGCTCAATTATTGAAAAGCCCTGTAGGTTCATTGAAGATGAGGTACCTGAATTGGCCAGAGAAGGACATTCATGTCCCCGTGGACACCCAGCAGAGAATACATGGATTTGCTTCCCCCAGTAGTGATGGAAAGCAAGGTCTTCTTATTCTGTATGAGGAGAGAGGGTGGGGAAACAAACCTTCATTACCTTTCTTTTTTTGCTATAGGGCGCATGTACTCGCCAGAAAGACAGAGACAGACAGACAGAAAGTGAGAAATCACCCCCCAGGGGTATGGCCACGCCACAATCCCTTCTCCTCCATTCTCCTCTCAGGATCTTGGGCACACACTCACACATGCCTGGCGTGAGTTTTAAGCCACCAGGTCCGGGACACGAACCGCAGTCGACTACATGGGAGTCCAGCAACATAGCCATTACGATAACTGCTGGTCCCAGCCTTTCCATCTCCTTACACAAGTGCACCCTATTTGCCGTTTACGTTACTTCAGACTTTGGTCCTCAGAGCTGTACAGTCTGACTCTGCAGAAGTACCAGCCCATTTGGCACATAGATGGAAGCCAGGGGCGAGCCAAAGGTTCCACACTCCTCCTGGTGCCAGTCAGAGGAAGGCTGCCCCGTAAGCTGCTGGCTGCTGGGTAGCCAGCAGGGTTGGTTGGTTCTGTCTCCCCATGGTGTTAGGGATGGAGTAGGATAAGACCTTTCATTCTAGGTCTCAAAAGTATTTCATGTGCAATATGTAGGTCTCCAAAAAACAGAGATGAGCCAGAGGGACGCAGCAGTGACACAAGACTTCCTCCTGGGAAATCCCCAGATACACTTTGATACTGAAGCCACATAAGAAGGTTCTGGGTTTGTGTTCCAAGGACTTTGTGCACATCAGGTGCATGCGTGCCTGTGATCCTGGCTGGTGGAGGCTGGTGGTGAACTGCAATGTGAAGACCCTTATTGGGGGTGTCTATTTCTCTCTCCCCCTCATAAAAGAAATACATTTTTATTCATTTATTTATTTTAAGTTTTTGCCATAGGGCAAGTGCACTCACCAGAGAGAATGAGACAGTGAGAGATCATCCCCTGGGGGGATGGCCACATCACGATCCCTTAACTACTCTCTTCCTGAGATTTGGGGCATGCATGCACACGTGCCCCACGTGATTTTTAAGCCAATGGTCCAGAACTCGAACCACATTTGGCCATGTGGGAATCTGGTACCTTAATCACCATACTACCTGCTGGCTCCCAGAAATAATTTTTTTTAATTAAATTTATTTGTTTGTTTGTTTTTTTTGCTGTAGGGTACACACACTCACCAGAGACAGAGAAAGAGAGAAAGTGAGAAATCACACCCTAAGGGGAATGACCATGCCATGATCCCTTTCCCTCCATTCTCCTCTTGGAATTTTGGTCACACCTGCACATATGTCCAGCATGGTTTTTTTTTATAACTTTTGAAATATTTATTTACTTCCATTTGTTATTGTTAGTTTTTTGGGTTTTAGTTTTTTTTTTTGTTTTTTTGTTTTTTTTTTTTTTTTTTTGTCGGGAGGGGGGAAGCAAGAAAGCAAGCCACCAGGTCTGGGACTCGAACCATGGTTGGCCATGTGGGAATCCAGTGCCCTTATCCACCACACCGCCTGCTGGCCCCCATATGTCCAGCATGTTTTTAAACCACCAGGTCAGGGACTCGAACTGTGCGATCATCCACGTGGGATCTAGCACCTTAACTTCTATGTTACCTGCTGGCCCTAAAACTAATTAAAAAAAAAAAAAAGATTTCTTATTATGGGAAATTTCAAACATATATAAAAAAAGAAAAAATAAGGGCCAGCAGGTGGTGTGGTGGTTAGGGTGCTAGACCCCACGTGGCCAATTGTGGTTTGAGTTCTGGACCTGACAGCTTACTTTCTTACTTTTTATTTTCTCTCTCATTCTCTCTGTCTCCCTCTGGTCAAGTTAAAAGATAAATAATAATGACAAATAAAATTAAATAAATACATCTTTTAAAAAAATAGTATAACAATCTATCCATTACCCAGCTTCAATTCTCAATATTTTGCCATTCTGGGACCAGCAGGTGATGTAGTGGTTAAGGCACTAGACTCCCACATGGTTGACCGCGATTCAAGTCCTGGGCCCAGCAGCCTGAAAATCATGCCGGGCTCATGTGTGTACATGTCCAAATTCCTGAGAGGAGAAGAGAAGGGATTGTGGCATGGCCATTCCCGCCAGGGAGTGATTTCTCACTTTCCCTCTCTCTGTCTGTCTCTGAAGAATACACACACCCTATGCCAAAAATCTTTTTAAAAATTAGATAAAACCGGCTATTCTGTCTTTATATAATCCCCTCACCCCTTTTTCTCCTACAGTAATTGAAAACAAATCCCAAATATTATTTCATCTATTAAAACTGTACTGAGGCCAGCAGGTGGCATAGTGGTTAAGGTGCTGGATTTCCACATGGTTGACTCCAGTCAGACTCAGAGCTTGAAACTCACACAGGGCATGTGTGTATGTGTACCTAAAACCCTGAGAGGAGAATGGAAGAGAAGGGATTGCAGTGTGGCCCCCCAGGAGGCGATTTCTCACTTTCTGCTTACTGTCTCTCTCTGTCTCTCCAACAAGCATATGCGCCCTGTAGCAAAAATATCTCAAAAACAAAACAAATCTGTATCACAGGCAAGCCAGTGGTGTGGTTAAGGAGACTGGATCCCACATGGCCAACAGCACTGTTTGAGTCCTAGATCCAGTAACTTGAAAAACACACTGGGTTGGGGCCAGCAGGTAGCGTGGTGGTTAAGGGCACTAGACTCCCACATGGCTGACTGTGGTTCAAGTCCTGAATCTGGTGGTTTGCTTTCTCTCTTTCTCTTTCTCTCACTGTGTCCCTCTATGGTCAAATTAAAATAAATAAAGTTAAATAAAATAATTATTAAGAAAGAAAGAAAAACACAATGGGCATGTGTGTACGTGTGTATGCCCAAGATCCCCAGAGGTGATGGATGAGAAGGGATTGTGGTGTGGTCATCCTGGGTGATTTCTCACTTTCCCTTTCTCTCTCTGTTTCTCTCTGGTATCCTGTAGCAAGTTAAAAAAAAAAAAAAAAAAAAAAAAAGAAAGAAAGAAAAGGAAAGAAAAACTATCACACATCTGTCTCCCAAAGTACCTGGAGCCACAATTCTGTTTCATCAGAATCTACCCTGAACTCAGTTGTTAGAAAACTCAGAGTGGGCCAGCTGTGGACTGTGGGTGAGGCAGCTGGATCCCATGTGGCTGACTGTGTGGTTCCAATGTCAGCAGGGCAGCTTGAGACACCTGCTGGGTGCGAGCAAGTACCCAAGGAGGGAGAAATGGAGGAGAGGGGATTGCAGTGTGAGCAGTCCCAATGGAGGGTGCTTCCTCACTTTCTCTTTCACTCTCTTCTGCGTCCCTCTGTGGCAAGCACGTGTATCCTCTAGGAAAATCAGAATTTTAAAAAAAGAAAGAAAATTCAGAGACATTCACGTACCCGGAAAGGCCCATTGTCATACATGGCAGCATACGTGTAAGCAAACTCTCCTATGAACACGCGCTCAAACCAGCCTTTCAGGATGGCAGGGACTCCGAACCACTGCAGCGGGAACTGTGGGGCAGAAGACAGCAAGGTCAGATCAAGGGCCACTCCCCAGCACAAAAGGTTCAGGCTGCTGTCCACCGTGCCACAGCAGGGAGCCTTTCTTCAGGTCTTCATTATTCCTTCTGTAGGCATTTGCAGTCAAAGCAAAGAGAAAACCATTGTCCTTGGTCAGCCAACCTGACGCTCCAGCTTCTGTCTGAAAATACAAACATTGGGAGGGTCTGGATAAAGCCACATGCAAATAAGGTTTGTTTATAATATGAAGTCACAGTTGGCAGCAAAGTCAACAGTAAGGACTGCAGATAAGGCTCGCTTCAGTGTGTGATGCCTAAATCAATATTTTCCCAATAGTTTGCTTTCCAGCAGGTGTGGTCTCAAAAATGTGGCTGTCCCTGTGCACACGGATGTAAAACCCTATCATTTAGAATAAACTAAACCACTCAAAAATGCAAACACGTGATCAGCATGACTAAGATTTTTCAGGGGATTCCTAGGAGAAAGTCTTACTTGACCTTTTAACCTAATAAAATTCAAATACAGACTATAGCAATATCTCTTTTCCTTGATTTGTGATTCAAAGACATGCCCATTGGAAGTGTCCGGAAGGCCAGGACAAAGAAGACATTTGTAGGACCTAGTAGCTTTCTCTATTTGGTGGATTGTTGGCCTAAGCAAAGGATCTAAGGATGTAGGATTCTATAACAGAAATAACACAGAGAGGGAGATTTGTATTCTTATCCTGAATCAGCCATTTATTTAATACATGACCTTTGCCACACAAGCCCTATAGCCATCTAAGTTTCATTTGCCTCAGAGGTAAAAAGAGGAGCTTGGGTGGACCAGTTGGGGTTGTGAGGGCTAAAGTGGCTGGATCCCACATGGCCCACTGAGAGATACAAGTCCTGAACCCAGTGGTTTGAAAAACACATCAGGTGCATGTGTGTGTGTGGCCAAAAATCCCAAGAGGAGAATGGAGAAGGGACTGGTGTGGCCATCCCTGCTGTAGAGTTGATTTCTCACTTTCCCTCTTTCTGTCTCTCTCCAGTGAGTGTACATGCTCTACAGCCAAAAAAAATTTAAAACTTAAAGAAATACACACACACACACACACACACACACACACACACGTGTATATATATAAAAGTAGGGCTTGGGTAATCTCTAGCAGTGCCTTGCATTCTCATATCCAAGACTTTCCAACTGTAGGGAATCAGATCTGCAGCTCTTACGATAAGCATGTAGGCTATTTGGACAATTTGGTCCCCTGTGAATGTTCTGCATTCAAATCTGAAACAGAATTGATTAACAGAGGAGATTACAAGTTTAGTCTCCTTCAAGTTGTTCGTGGATACATGAAAACACGGAGCAGGGGGCCAGCCCATGGGGCCCCTTGGTATGAAGTAAAGCAGTCTTTTCTCAGCATACTTCATTTCCACCTTGAAAGCCTGCAGTGGTACACTGATTTTGCTCAAATTGACTTTCTCTGTCATCTGTCAGAAGGCTGCAATTCTACAGATCCAGATCTGCAGCGTTCACACGGCCCAGAGGTGGTGCTCTGCAGTGCATGGCCTGCCAGCTGGACTGGCAGTGAAGAAGACAGGCATCCGCCAGCTGCTGACTAAAAACCACCAAGGCCCTTCCCAATTCCAAACGACGGTGACTCTGAGAGGAGAACTGGCAGCCGCTGCTGCTGCTGCACTGACTAGACTAGGAGAAGATGCAGCAGAATGGACACACGAAGGCATCCCCTGGGGCACTGGCTCCGCCGGTTCACACCACGGATCTGAGGGTAGAACAAAGGACTGGATGCTTTGCAGCTGAGAATAACTGCAAACGCTGCAGCCTGCCCCACCCTCCCCGTGAGGTTTCCAGTGTCATGTGCATCCCATGTCTAATATCACAAAGCTGGTGGGCATCCAGTAAAAGCAAAATCTCTGTTAACAGCCTGGCATTCACAGGAAAGGTGACTGACAACACGCAGGCCCCACCTAATGGCACAATTGGTAGCAAAATGAAATGGCGTGATGGAAGCCACAGGATGACTGTGGGTTCAGATCCCTGAATTGGCCTGGAAACATGCCTGTCCAAGATCCCAGCGAGCTGGAGGGCTGTGGGAAGGAGATTGCAGAACGATAAGGCCTTATTGAGGGAATCTTTGTCTTTCTCACTCTAATCTTGGGAACCAGCAGTTAGCATAATGGCTATGTCGCTGGACTCCCACGTAGTTGACCACAGTTCGCGTCCCAGACCCGGTGGCTTAAAATTCACGCCAGGCGCATGTGCGTGCGTGCCTAAGATCCCAAGAGGAGAATGGAGGAGAAGGGATTGCGGCGTGACCATCCCCACTGGGGGGTGATTTCTTGCTTTCTGTCTCTCTGTCTCTCTCTCTCTGTCTAGCGAGCGCACATGCCCTATAGCGAAAACCTTTTGGAGTCCAGCGACTTAGCCATTATGCTA